GGGTTGAGGCGTGGCCTCCGTCCATTCACCTTTGCCTTCCCTTTTGTCCTTCCTTCCTTTGTTTCTTTGTTTCTCTTTATTTTCTTTGGGGACATTTTCTGTTGTTTGATATATTTTGGGTGTTTCTGTGCTCCTTTTTTCTTCTCTTCCTTTTATCATTTCTCTTTGGTTCAATTGTGTTTTCCAACTTTCCTCTTTTATTGCACTTTTTATATCTTCTCCCTCTGTGTTGATTGTTTTGTTTAATTTTTTGTCCTATTTTAAAGTAACACTTATATATTACTTCGTGTTCTTTTTTTTCTTGTTTTTCCTTTTTTGTTAATCGCTTTACTGCACCTTTTTCAGCTCGACTTATTATGCTCTCTTTCTCTCGCTTTCACTAAGCTTCATTGTAGTTGCTTATTTATCTTTACGTATTTTTGGTTGAATGGGTACAGTATTCCCATCTGCCACCACAACCTTTCCATTCACTACTTCCTTTGCTTTCATCAATTTCCAATTTTCTTTATTCTTTACTATCCAATCGCCGTTGCAGCTCTCAATTCTCACACCTACGTTTTTCCAAGTTACAACAGGCCGTGTTTCCTTATGCACTAATGAGAGTTCAGCAAGGATATCGGACTTGTGAATAATTTTCCTATCAATTCCAACTAGTAGCCTTACTTCGCCATTGGTTGAGTTCACCACTGTGATGGAAGCTTCTAAATCATTTAATACAGTAAACGTGTCACAGATTTTGAAAGTAGAACCATTGTTATAATAAGATCTGCCATTCGCACTACAGTATTCATTAAGACTTTGCTCTGCTCAAATTCAAATAAGCAGACCGTCCCGGTCGCTGAATTAACAGCTGGAAGACAGACATTTTTTAAGAACCTTTTTAGATGTATCCATGCCTGGACAAATACAGCCACATCCTTACTTTTTGCTGGATACTCCATGATAGCAACCATATCCATTGCTTGTGCCATCTTGGTAATTGCGGTCTTGGAGCCAGAGCTCACTCTACTATAAATACGACCTGTCACCTCCTCGCCGACACTATCTTTTCCCCAATTCGGCTTTAGAGTGAGGATGTATTAGGAATTTCTGATTCTTAATGGGATTGATATTATTTCTTCAAAGGGCATAAAAATTTGTCCTTTCTCCACCTTCACCGAATGCTCAAATCGGTTGGATCCTGGTACCTTCACCATCCATTTACCATTCCATGTGTCCACTTGAATAGACACATTTCTTTAGGCCAAATAAGGTCGGATTATAGGTCTTTTGTAGACTAGCAGAAAGCCTATTGTAACATTTGAGTGTACCAGATCCACCACACTTAAGGTGTCCAGCAATCTCACATTTCCAATGCTCAGATCAACGACAGTAGCAGTCTGGACAACTTCCTTAAAGCTGACAAAGTTCTCACAAGGACGCAGAGCAGTTTTGTTAGAAAAGTACACAGCTCAATCCCTCACTCTAGAGTCCATTAAGCTATCGTTTTCGGAGGGAATGAAAAATCGTACTGTACCGTCGGTCAAATCGATGACAAGAAGATAGGAACGACTGATGTGGGAAGAAGAATTAGTGGTAGAAGCTGGCTGTGTACATGGAGAAGGTGGCTCATTTAATAGTAGTCATGCAGACAACAGGAGAAAGACAAACTACATATGCACAGGAAAAGAAAATACCTAAGGCAACAACATACAGGTCTATTCCGACACATTTTTCTGCCAAAGACTTCAAAATTAGGCATTAATACGAACTGAATGATTTGTAAATATTTCAGAGAAGGCCCGTTTTTCAGATCTATACATTCTCTGAATGATTAGCGTGTCATGGCAATTAGTAAGACAAATAGAAACAGGGCATCAAAGGTTAGAACAAACAACATTTAGGTGGGAACTTACGATCACATTGCCAAAGTCCGGATCAAAGGTGTAAATAGGTTCACCACTTTCTTCCCGTAACTTTTCGAAAAATAAGAGAAGGCGTTTATTTTAAACGACTTACGAGGGCTCAGGTAAATAAATAAAGGAAAATATCTTGAATCCACCCTTTGTTTTTAAAGCGAATCAAAGGGCCTAATGAACCTCTATTACGACGTTCGCTATTTCTTACCAAACATGCAGCAGAAACAAAATAGCACTATGAGTTTATTCTTTTCTAATGACATTAGGTGTTACGAGGCGGCTACCGGGACGGAATGTTTACTTGTACCATTCTGCAGGCATCAGCGGCATCTGTGACGAATTTATACAGGATTGGGTGATCCCTGTTCCCTCCTCTAAGTGCTTACAAGACACCGAGATGAAACTGTCTCATAAAAGGCTACATTCTACTGTCTTTAGTAACGTGTAGAGAAGAGAAGAACCTTTGAGGTGAATATTTAAGGGGCAACTTACCTCTATCGTTTTGCACGGTGCAAGCAGTGCATCCGACCCGGAGTGTAGGGTGAACTCTGTCAGGACACCCTAAAGATATTAACTGAAGATGAGATTTCTTCTTAAAGGCAAAAGAAAATAGTCTTTAACAAATTTTAGTGCACAACTGGAGTCTGTAGACCTTGGATACATTTGACAACTTTGGGAGTCAAGTAATGAATTTGATCCAATGCGCAAAAAGGGTGATTTTTGACTCACTAACTAAAAAATACTTTTATTAGACCTTATGTTCCTAAGATTATGTATTCTTTAAAAAATCTGTCAAACAGGGAGAATAATCTTACCTGAAAATAGGCTGGTCTAGATGGTACTCCGCTATTGAGAAGGAACGCTGCCGCTCCGTCTCGAAATAAAGGGCGCCCAAGTAATTTGATGCCTTGCTCTTCGTGGAACGGTGCAGATTGTATTCGCGGGCAGTTTGCAAAAAATTCCACCTAAAACGCGAAATAGACGAACCCATGTTACTTAAGTACATCAGTAGCAGCGTCATTGCATTACGCTATTGGAGGTGGCATTATTTGCATTACCTTTGTAGTACATTCAAATAAATATATGGGGTTCTTTATGGCAGAAAGTAATTAATGGTGTTTAAAATATTTTGTCCAGTAAAGTGGCCAAAGCTTTAACACGTCACCCCAAATTTACGAATCCATTGTTTATCATATTTTTTGTCTTTAACAGTCTAAAAATTCTGTCTCCAGGCACCTCCTTTTCAACAACACTTAAATTTCTTAACTATTCTTTTAAATTCTGTATGTGAATCTATAATACCAAGAATAGGTCGAAAAAGCAAAATAAAGATTTGGAAATGCCGATTAAGTACGGCTGACAAGGTGGAGTAACGGGTGAGGTATCAATTCCTCTCCTTCCCAACCATCTTAAAATGTGACATAAAATGTCTTTACAAGTAAATCTAGCAGTTAAACGCGATAAGAGACTTCACTTTTTCTTGTGAATAAAAAAGTAGGACCTTAATCCGAGTAACTGGTTTGCCAGTCCTGAATGCTTGTCTGGGGGGGGGGGAAGATTTCTCAGGCCTTGGACAGACCTCAGTAGTAAGTAATGTTTTACATTCAGCAAAAATTTCTCAGTTAACAACTTTAGGTGAATCAATTTCGTTCCCTGTCCACCGAACACACGGAGCCTAGTCGTTTTGGAGGTGAATAGGTGCCCTTGAAGTGTTAAGTAAATGGTGAATGGATGATTTGTTCCCTTAAAGTTGAAAACTACAAATTTTAAAATCCCTTCTAAGCCCTAGTCTGACTTGTCTGCTTCCTCGACTTTCTCCTCTTTGGTAATATCGGTGTAGAGCAATTGTTCCGTCATTAATTAAGGAATAAAATGACAAGCACTCTCCAAATGTCAAGAATCGAAAAGCTTTTCCTTGCATGATACATCTATCCAGAATGTAAATAAGCACAAGTGATCACTTCTTTCCGCCTTACCTTACGAGTCGTTAAACTGAGCTCTCAGACGCTAAATTTCCTTTAAACTAGTATCTAAGAGTGGATTGGTGAAGGAAATTAGGGCCAGGGATAAGGTGGCTCTTTGTATGTGATTTGTACCTACTGTACGGATGTTTAGCTGATTCAAAAAGAGGAGCCTAAAAACCTTCTTTACATGACATTTAACCAAAGGTTGTACGTCTGACCTGTTTAACCATACACTTTTTTGGATAGGGAGGTAGAGGGAGGCAAAAGGTACAGATGTGAAGTAGGAAATTCAAAGGTATTCTTCAAATAACACCCCCACACCCCCTGAAAAATAATCCAATCAAAATGTCATTTACCTTTTGGATTGACTGATCTTTTAAGGTCGATTGCTAGTCAATTGCCCCAATCTGCTAACTGAATCAGTGACTGTTAGGCAGGTAAAGGTGGATGCAAAAAGGTTGAACTAACTCGGAATTCACAAATAATTGCCGTCGGCAACAGCTGTAACAGTCTAGCGTAGCGCACATAGAGTGGGAAAATTTATTAATGGTCGAGTCCGTATCCGAAAATCGCCTGTCTAACACATGTCCACTGTGTTTTACAGTCTATTTGACCATAAAATTTGATACGTTGACACTAAAAATGCCATTTGCTCAGGTAAAATCAAGAGGAACGTACTCATTAATGATTTGAAAATTAACTTTTTGCCAAAAAAAGCATGTAAAACAGAAGGGAATTGGGCTCCTTTAGGCACATTAGTGTTAATGACAAGCCATTTTAAGCCACAACACAACCACCACTTATGAAACTCTGCCTAGGTAACAGGCGATGAATCAGTGAAAATGGTCAATTTGGTTGGACGACAAATTGCTCCAACACACAAAGCACACTTAATCAAGTCCAGGTACTCATCCAGTCTTCCCGCCCCACTTAACCCCCTCCACCATTAGCCATTGTCCGTGTGTTGACAACTGTGGCGCATGGTACCCTTCAGAGTGCTGGCTTGTTCAAACCTGTTTTCTTTGATTAATTTAGAAGGGCAAAATGCTATGCACGAAACGATACACCTGGGAGTTAAAAACGATGCACATTGACTTACAGAATCCGCCTTAATCAGGACGCCCAGTCTCCAGTAGGAGGGTGATGGAGGATACAGAAAATCAATTACACGTTCACCCTCGCTGGAATTCAACAGGTTGTACTGTAGTTTGACTCCGTAACTTTGTGGCTTATTCTAAAAAAGAAAAAGATAGCACTAATTTGATTATAAACGTGCATGTAGGAAGATCAGCTAATTTGTCAAAAATGTGTCCGATTAACGCGAATGCTTCTGCACACATTCAAAAATACTACTTTCTATTTTTGGGGTGTTCATACAGTAGGGATAAACACTTATTGCAAGCATTCACCTTGTACATGGAAAGGGCAAAACGCAGAGTCTCATCGGGATCACGAATGGCGAGGAAGTAGAACTCGGTGAGTGAGGAGTTGGGTTCAAAGTTCAGCTGCATGTAGAGTGAATCTTTTGGAAGTTGCTTATCACTGAAGAGAGTCTGAGCTGGCACTGAGTAGAGCTGCTCATTGGGTGGTGTAGTGATGTCCATTGGAAAGTCGAGGTCGGAATTCATTGCCGTCAGGCCGTAGTTGCGGTTCAATTGGAAGGTGATGTCCCAACTTGGTCCTGATTTAAAAACACCACATTTTTTTATAAAAAAAGAATATGTGACTTCCTTCTCTGATAGACAACTAATTTTACCATCGAGAGGAAACCTGTAAAACCTCTAATTTTTGCTGTTAAACAGTCTCAAAATTGGACTTATTGTTGCTATAAGATTCCAAGAGTGGATCAGTTAACTTGAAATAAAGCAGTCTAAGGGAGTCCCTAATTTAAAAAAGTAAACTTTTAATGAAATTTATTCATTAAAGGGAGGAGGTGGGGCCTCTGTGCATGCTCCCCACCTAATGAGAGTAGATAAAAAGGGAAAGATTTCGTCCGGATAGAAAGAGATAAAAATAAGTTTTGATGCTATCTCTAGGCAAATGGACCCCACTTATTTATCGCAATTTGCCTCTAGAGAAGTTACACTAATTCACACTACTTTTCAAAGTTACCAAAGTCAGCGTGTCAGTGTTGCGTGTCTAATCAACTGACTATGTGGATTTGATTTCCCCTGTCAGACCATATTAATAAGGAGCCGCACTACATTAGCCATTGTTGGTGATCACTGTGTCGTTGACAAGCCACTGTGGACATAATTTGCGTTCGCAAACACCCATCAAGCTGTCCTATCACTTTAAACTTATAAAACATGTGATATCTGGTGAATAACCCCTTCAATCCATCCCTAAGGGTCATTAGCACTGGGCGTGGCTTGCAGATGTAAGGTACAGATAAATGCACCCAAGCAGGGGTTGGGTAAAGTCCATTTTTTTACTGAAGCGATGATAGATCAAATAAGGAAGATTGAGGGAGAAAGAGGGGAGACTCAGAGGCATTTCCGCTTTGCCTCCCTTGATGTTGTCCAATACTATTGGGTCTGCAGGGGCATAAGGAACTATGTCAAGTTTATCTGTCCAAATAATACCACTTACTGTACCAAAATTTGATAAGTGGTCTAAGAAAAGGCATATTTCGCCCTGATATTGTAAACAGGCACCGATTTTTTGTATAATTTATGACATTTTGGTGTTAATGACCCCTCCCTCAATTGGCAGTACTTCTGACCTTTAGAAAGTGGATACACCCAGACACATCATATTATTGCTTTAACAAGCAAATCCAGGAGAAAAAGTAGGTTCAATTTGGTCTCGCATAGTAAGGCATTTGTTTGCAAAATGATGGGATTATCTCGAGAAATATAATCCGTTTTTTCTCTCGAAGATTTCATGCAGATGCGCGGTGACACCTCTACGTCCTCCGGTGGATTAGTGAATGCCTAATAATAACCTCTTTAAACACAAAATCATGGAATACTAAGCTAAAAATAGCTTTAACAAAAACCCAGCATTTGAAAAAAAATGCCAGAGGTTTGTTGCAAAGTCCCTTACTTTTGAAGTGACATTTTCGGTGTCAGAATCCGGTGATGATAAAAACAATTACTACTTACACGATACTCACTGTATAATGAAAAATTAAGAGAACCACGTGACGAGAAAACAATGAAAACCTAAGTGAGTCCATTTTTATGGTTATAAAAGGGCTTTCTTAAACGCTCATGGTGGCAGGGAGATGGAAGCTAGTGATACCGGCCAGTACACGGTGGCACAGGCGGTAAATTGATGATTTCACTAGCCTCAATAAATAACAGAGCCAACTTGTAAATAAAGTGCTCGTCTTTTGCGAAAACTTTTGTGTAGGAACGAATTCTTTTTAATAAAGGGGGAAAAATTCCGAGCTCAATTTGTCAATTTCTAAAGTAGTAGATTACAGTCTTCTTTGTCTGCCTCCCTGCTACAGTGGGCTTGTCAAGTCCATTCAAACCCAAACACGCATGTCTTGGAACCATGCACTATGGGAAGAAGAACAGACGCCGAGGTAGATTTCACTTAACAGGTATTATTTTCGGTCCAATTCAAAGTACCTAGGGAAGAAAGTCGTTTAGATAAAGTTTTGCCCATTCCTGGCCATGGGAGCCAGATGGTGGAGATAATGCTGCTAGTGCAGCCTCAATGATGGGCTAATGAATTTGCTGTAATTTATGAAGGGGTTTGCAAACCTCAAGGCACCTCCTGTTTTAGGCGGAACTACCAAAGGTAGGTCATCGTTTTGCCACTAATTTTTGGACCATATATAAGGCATCAGGCGGTGAAGTTCATTAAATTGATTCACTTTGAAAAGACAAGCCACCTATTTCTTCGTCAAGTTCCCAATTCTTAGGAAATCAAAATGTATTTTTTCCAAGAATTTTAATCTCCCTTTTATCACAATTCAAAAGTTGAGAGCAAAAACAGTAAAGCCCACTAAACAACGAGGTTGAAGCCAATCAAGCATGCTAGGCTATCTGTAATTTATCCTTTGTAGAAAAGGGGACAACAAAAAAATTAACATCCCAAATAATGCACAGCGAGTTAACCCAAGTGCTTTAATATGCAATATGATGGCCTTTGCGAGCAAAACTTGTAAATTGCGGTTGGAATAATGCAATAAAGTTTCAAGTTAAAAACAAACTTATTTAATAAAATATAAACGGGACAAGAGAGAGGAGAGAGAGCGAAAGAGATCACTTACGAGTTACAGCATTGGCCACTGTGATACAACCCATCGCCACAGTTATGAATATCCACTTGGCCAGTCCCATGGTTGCGAGTTTAAGCACGTAAAAGGGGATGAGCTACTTGGATGAGTGCTGTTTCACCTTAAAGGGTACTGCGGCACCCCACCTGTGTGCGGCGTTGCGTATTTGGACCACTACCGGCCGGCCGAGAGAATTTAATCAGCGTCCAAAGCGGTGCTTCTCGCTGATTGGCTCTCTAGCTGGCTCGCACGGTGCGTGCGTGCACGCCATAGTATGATCTTTTGGGCCAGGCAATTACTCTCCTCATTGGGTGGAGTTTTTACTCCAACTTTGGCTTCACGTCATTCAACTGGAGAGATTAAATTGTTCGACTACCAAAAGTGTACAAATAACAAATAGGGGAAAAGCTGAAAATACCTTATCTTAGCCGCCATCTTAAGTGATTTGCAAAAGCTGTTTTATTATTTTTGTTTTTAAATAAAACACTTTGAAAATCGCTAATGGTTTTAATCAAGTTATCCACGAATGCCTCTTGCCGTTTCTCGTGAAATGCAAATCTATGTACAGTCGTGCATCAACCAATTAAGCGATCAGAAAGCCTTCCACCAGTTTATACCACGCAACACAATAGAGCTATTTGGTCGAAATAGAACTCCGGAAGTGTCAATACAAACTGGAAAGGAGGGTGTTGAAACAGTGACATAATTATAAAAACTGGTTTCTTACAATTCGTTTAAAAAATGGTGCCATAATCCTGGGTGCTAAACTGACGTCGAGGGCTGCAATGTGAGTCAGCCTGGGGGTTTGTAAAAAGAATTTTGAAGTACAACGTCAGGATGTGAAACTTATGGGGATCCGAATAAAGGAAAGAACTCTTATAATCTGTAAAATGGGGACGAAAGGGCATTTGCTCCTCCTCTCTCCCACCTTCAGTTTCCTCTGTCAGCCCTGCACGATATAAGAAAATAGGGCTGGGTCAACGATTCTCTAGTAGAATGGATTATCACGTCATGAAGAGGGCAACTGAAGGCTTTAGAGTTAGAAGACAGCACATAGTTAAACTTCATACTGCTAAAACAGTGCCCATTTACCAAGTCTCAAAGCATTGGAGGTTTTAATGGTCAAACTCCAAAGACTGCAGAGTGTAAGGAGTCTTACATTAAGGAATAAAAAATTGTTATAGATAAAATTTATAAAATTTACTGCTTTGAGTTTTTGTGTAAGATTTAAATAAACGTCAATGCTTTTTTCATTACTTCCTAAGAAGTTGGTGTACAAACAGTGTTGACATAAAATGGCCATCTCTATGAGTCAATTGACGACTTTTTCAATTCACAATGAAGTGAAGACTGACCAATCTCCATGTTATGCATGTCATGTGGTTTTCTTTATTCTCACTTTCTTTTCGAGTCGTGGACTATCAGTCACTCGTTGGTGGTGACAAATCGAGGCACCTGGAAGAGATTGTATACCTCATGGTGAATTTCCACAAAAGCTAAAAACCACATGATTAAGTGAAATTACTTGCTTTAAATTGATTGGAAATACGTGTCACGCATGTGTGACATGCAGTGTATTATAAGGGTACAGTTTTAGAGTCACTGTTACAGCAACTAGGGCAAAGAGAACAGTACACTAACTTTTTCTTGTGCTGTATTTGAGAATTTTCCAAATGTTAGTTAAAATAGGTTTGCGAGGCAAGTCACAATTGAAAATCCAAAAGGTAATAAACAGAAAACCTTATCGCAAATTGCATATTAATTTCATAATGGTTACAGGACCCACACATTTAAAACGATTAAAAATTTGGGTAAGTAAATATGTGTAAACAAATAAGCTTTCAAGACCTTTATTGGGTAAAAGTCAGATATTGTACAAAGTTTAAATCGTTTTAATTTGTAAAGTAATTTTCGCTTTCTTTGACAACAACAAGCTTGCAAATTGCAAGAATATGCAACACTTTGTCTTGAAAAGTAAAAAAAAGAGCTACTTCCGTTCCGATCTTGTCCTTCTTTTCGAATGTCTAGTACCAAAATTACTGACGACCACTGGGAGAAATATAAGGCACCATCTATCCCTCTATATTCGGGGATAATTTATGTGATCTATGGTGTGAAGAGCATCACGACTGCTTCTGAGTAGGAGGCATATATAATCGGGTAGATAGACTCCAGCCATAATTAATGCCTAGCACTGATAGTTCTTTCCAAAAAATCCTCCATGTGGTTCACTGCACATACACAACGCATATTCTTCAAAGGATCGAAAAATGATGCAGATCTTGGAATTGCGGAGTGGGCAGTGGGTAAACAAGCACACTGAAGTGCACGATGGAAATGAGGAACAAATTGATGATACTTGCAACTTACTGATGTCTCTTGATACCTTTTCGTACGAGATGAATTCAACTGTTTATGTAAGGCATTTCTGGACGCCAAGTCCTATTACTGCATAATGCAACTTTTTCCAAACTGATTAACTCTCCGTGAGTAAAAAAGATAAGCTTAATCATCGTGCAGGATATTTAACCGACATTTACTGACATGGAAGTGGATTTAAAAAGGGAGGCTGAAGAGAGAACGCCTGACTAACGTGGATGTTACACATGTCCTTGCAAGTTGCCGTAGGCAATTGCAGCAAGCTCTAGCGGAAGCTGATAACGTCGAAGCCATGCTCAGCGCTTATCACTCCTATTGTCCGTGAGAGAGGGCAGGCACACCTACCAAATGCTGGTTTTGTTTAGAATAGACTCGGAATGCAGAGGTAACATTTATTAGGAAAAAAAACAAGGATGAAGTTTACTTTGCGTGTTTAAGCTAGTCGGTTAAAAGACAGATGAATCCCTTCGTGACTGATGAAGACCGACAGATGTTATCACTAGTCATAAATATTTGGAGGTACATGGACACTTCAAAGTTCTGTAGAACGGTTTACATTGGGTCATGGAAAACGGTACTACAAACTCATTTAACAAGAGATTTATAGATAAGAAACAGGAAAATTTAGGAGGAAACAAGAGGTACCACGATCAGGTAGGTGTTGGAAGGTGAAATACCGATTAATGAAGCAAGAGTTCGTCTTCGTAAAGGTGAAAAATGATAGAGAAGTAGTATAAATCATGAATAATTTAAGGCGGAAACATTGTGCCTTTTCAGATGGCTGAAATTGATGAGGGAAAATAGTAAAGTTGCCTGTGACTTACAAGCGAAAACTGGTTACTTCGGAGTGTCAGTGTTTAAACAGCAAATCTTCCCCTACAAATGAAATTCTTAGCAGTCACTAGAAAGTTTTGCTCTTTCCAAAAAAGGAGACCTCATTCTTGATGATGATTTGCAGGAATTCAGTGAGAAACGTTTCACTGAACATTAGCGGGATAGATTGGCAGTCTGGGTCCTAGATACTGGAAACGTTTGTCAAGCCTTGAAAGGTGCTGTAATCTTGGCTCCTTAACTCTCTTGATTAGGTTTCCAGTTTAACACTGCGCACACTTGCGATGTCTGGTGTCATGGTTAACATGTTCATTTGATAATTTCATAGTCATAGTCTTCGTTTCTCTGGCGCATTACCAACATTTTTACTGATGACACTTAGAATGTGAGAAATCGAGAATTCCCAAGAGGTGATCTCACTGTGGAAGATGTCATTTGTTATGTACAGTAGATACGCGCCAACCTGAGAGCGAAGATGAATGTACTAACTAAAAAGTTTTTTCACGGTGGGATAAGTAGGCTTGTATCGAGGATGTTTATGCGACTACTGCCTCTGATCCTCTCTGACAATCGGGCTGGGCATTTACAGGACGATGAATGCCTGCCCCACTAAAACTAGCCATTAAGGCATTCCCCGGTGCACTTCTTTTATCAACGATGCACAGAAGGCAAAGTTACGGCAAGGCGTTAAAGTATCTCGTCACTAAAACGCATTTATCAATTGTTTTCAATTTTTATATACTACTTAAATCTATTTAAAATCAGTAGTGGATATAGCCCCTTAGAGGGGAGTTAGATTTAAGGTATTTTAAACAACATTTTTGCTCAAAATTTGTGTTTTTGCGGGATATTTAATGCTAGAATTTATTTAAAAATCTCCTAAGAAGTCATTATGATGAAAGGCTTATTTGTTAGCTCTCTGAAATGCATTTAAATTTAACATCTGGTCCATCTAAATCACTAATTCGAGAGATTAATGTGGAAATTCCAGTGGATTTTCTTATTAAAAAATTGGACAAATTTATGCTAGATTGGTGGTTATATCATCCTCTTTTCCATTACCATAGGCCTATTAACTAAGTACTTTGGTCTAAGATTGTTTACCTGATGGGAACATGTTAAACAGTTAATCAACTAGCGGAAAGGTGCAAATACATTTAACCATGAGAAAGAGGCGTTAAAGTAGCGATAAAGGGGGTTCTTTTTCAACGGTACACCCATTAGGGTAAATAACAAAGCATTCCAAGTAAACCTTAACCCATTCACCTTGAACGCTCTCAAAAGAATGAAGGACGTTCCACCCCCTGTAGAACATAAAAATTTACTGATCTTAATGCTCGTTCGGCTACTAACGGTGCCAACGTCAACAATCATAATCATCCATTTGCCTGACAAAGCTCGTAAACAATCTGTCTATCTATCCAGCTGCCTCGCCCTCTTGTCACCAACCGCCGGTGTAGACAGATTACATAAACATCTTGAATTTTTATATGCTATAAAAAACACTTCATGTCATAGACTCTTTGGCAGAAGTTGAGCCCGACATTGTGATTTTGGCAAACAGTGACAATTTCGAATGCCTTAATTAATGGATGGTGTGTTAGATGTCGGCCTATGCAAAGAAGATGTGAATAGGCCTATATGAGAAAAATCTTTTGAGGTGCCTTTGAGCCCTCCTACTGACAACAATAGGCAATTGGTTTGTGGCCCTGTTTGCCATACCAATAAATGACTTCTTGTATACACACTTTGTTTGATATGGGGGAATGGCGACAACTGCAAAAAAACCATACGCATCGTTGCTCCACGTCAAAGGCATATGAAAATTAGGTCTACGTATTCGAGCATGAATAAAAACGAAGAAAGCTATGTACCGTTGATAAGACAAATACAACTAAAGCATGGAGTAGTCTTCTTAGAACGAACCCTATAAAGTACTGTTTTAAATTTTGTAAGATTGAATAAATTGAGGTATATTTGTACCCTTAGTTTGGAGCCCTTATTCTCTCACGCATAGTGCGGCGATAGTTTGACGATGAAACGCTCCCAAATTGACGTCTTTAGTTGATGATTTTAATAATTCCTGACAGTTTTTTGAAGATATCAAAAATTGCACCAGAGGCCGCGGATATGAAAATGTTATTGTTTGTACCACAAGGGGCGGGTGGACGAGTTAAAAAAGTGGCACTGGGCAGAGCATCATTACACCTTGATACACACCTTGTGCTAAACACATAACCTCAAAGATGTGCCGCCCTATCTTGTTGTGGACGCTCACTTGTCAAGACAGAGTTTTACTCAAGCTTCTCGTTCTTTTTTGTCAAAGTTCACGTGTCATGGCAGCAGGTTTTAAGACCATAGTGGCTTCCTAAAAATCACAAATTAACAAAGAGTTGGCAGAAATACACTCTCTTCTATATACTATTTTCTGAAAACTGTTTATCTATTTGGACCTTATTTGTATGTTACTATGGTAATCGGCTTAAAATCATGGAACAAGTTTTCTGGTTTTTCTACGTCTCTTTCTCGGGGGAAAAACAGACAAGGTTAGAGATTATAGTTTCACATGTAATGTTTTAAAGTAATTCCTTGACCGGGTACGTATTCCTGAGGTGTAAAATAAATTAAGGGCACAAAGACCTTTTCACTCACCTTATGCATTCAAAAAAGACATTTTTTAATCAAAAAAAAATGGGAGCAGGCGTATATGAATGTATAGCAGCAATAATTTGACTCCCAAAAAAGGATAACAACAGTTTTTGGGCATGACCTCTAAAAGTGCCTCTTCAAAGTAGGTTTAATCAAATCCCAGAATCGTTGATCATCTTTGAAATGTGACTATCAGACATCTTGACACATCAAGTGCCTTGATGATTTGACATTTTGTTTAACTGTGCGTTATTTGTGCGAACACTTAACTCTGTGCCAAGACCCTCGAGTTGGACGAGGTAGTTGCTTAAGCCTTCTGCTCGTTAGTACGACTTAAGCAGAGACTCGACAGGTAGGCTATAAAAAAAAGACTATAATTCATTATTTTTTGTGGTGAAACTTCTCATAGGTAAAGGCTATGAGCAATGATAAAGTAAACAGAATACCATCTTTTGAGATGTGGATCTGGTGCCTACAAACCATACCTCAATAAAGTTAACTAACGCAAACTATAGGCATCTCTAAGAGGTATCTAACTGTTTATATGCATGCAGTGTAAAGCATTAATAAGTAGGTAGGCGTCAGCCTATTGCCAGAGTACACTTTATTGGACCTCGTACTCCATCTCTCTCCCATCATCTCCAGTTTTTATCACAAACTCATATTGTTCAATTGATACATGTAGGGAGTTAAATAGAAATTAAGTAGAAGTTGAAGAGCACTTGGCAAAGACATAGTACTTCATAACAAAATGCACCACAGAGATAATCCACTAAGCAGGCTATTTGTTTCTGCCAATGAACAGCTTAAGCGCGCGCTGCCTATGGAAAAACCAGCTATTTCTGGCTTTGAATAATTGCGTGTCGCTATTGATAAGAACAGGTGAAAATTAACGTGGCGAAGGATAGTTAGGTAATGAACTATGGTTGGAGCTAAAGGAGTGGCAGTGAAATGCATTAATAAGTAGCAATGGGTTACAGGATCGCCTAATTCCTCCTAAGATGCCAAGCACCGATTAGGACTGTGATCTATCTACCCCAAGACCTCAAAAATGTAAAGACTAGTTACCCAGTCAGTTGGAAAAATGTCCTCGACTTGCAAAACAACACCGCTAAGTCCACCCTCAAGGAGGCAGGGAGGCATCATCTCATTTCTCTTTATCTATTTATTTTAATCCTTTTCCCAGGCTCTAGTTATTACCACACCTTTTCTTATGACTAGAAAACGACCGAAGAAGTAAAAGTATTATAGGGTAGGAGGTGGTGGAGTATTATGCCATTTTTCTCCTTTTTAAGACGAGGCACCATGCAAAAGTGAGGTTTGCAAACTTGTATCCCTTGTATTTCAAGGGATAACAAATCCTCTAGAAGGATTTGCATGCACTTGGGCTTATTTGTAACCACAAACACACCAATATACGCACAGATGAGATGGGGAATGTTCGCAGGTGGCCAGAAAGTTCAAAGGCGACCGGGCTCTGCTACAACGCATCAGTGGGCGCATTTGGCATTACAGGTAGGGTTGCGTTGGTATGGAGGGTACACTATTCTTGACAATGTCCACATTTTGCCTACACCATCTCCCACACACAACCATGTGGCTTATTCCTGAAAGCTACTCTTTCTCCTTGGAAGAGGCGTCTTTCAACTCCTCCACAAATGCAACAATTGCCCTCGTTCAGTATCAGCTAAAGAATGTTTTCTTTTTCCAAACACCTTTTCTCTTGAGTATTTACAAAACGAAAGCTATTTCAGAAAGAATAAGTAATTGCTAACCCGAAGTAGACACTCATCCAATTTCGTGCAGGCTACAGTATTAGCCCATGAACTTGACACGAATGTATGCCACGAAAAAATTACTAGCTTATACAGACTTTTGGATTTCCTGACATACAATTATTTTAACAAAATAGTAGTTCTATTTCTAGAAATATTACTCTCCCATTCCATCTTTAGGAAAAGCTTTAAAAAGAACATTTTGTTTAAATAATTGCAATTGACAAAAAAATGGTTGCAGATTTTTCAATTTTCTCCTAGGATTTCAGTTGAATTAAATTCACTCTTTGTTTTCTTATAGTGAGGGAAGGTAGAGGAGTTTTTTTTCCTTCACTGAAATAAGTCGGCCATTGTTGCGTCAATGGTGAGTGATTTCCTTCAAGAAAAACCTAACTGGCTGTGAATGGTGAAGGTGTTTTACCAGGTTAAAATAGATTGTGGGTCAAACGGGAAGGTAAACATTTCGACATTAAATCTTTTGGACGGAAAAAGTAAGTGCACGAGGAATTGGGTTTACGTAAAACCATCGCGAAACTTACTTGAAGGATTAAATTCTGCGCAGTATGACGGTTCTGTGGCAAGACTTAAAGGAAGTTGTTGTAGGCCCAGATGTCGTCTGGAATGAAATTCCCTCTGCCTAAACAGTTGAGTTCGTGATATACTACTTACATTGGTGCGGACGAAACGTTCTTCTACCAACAATATAAAACCAAATGCTTGTAAGCTGCGCAAAATTGTAAAGACACACTTTACGTTCTAAAATAGGTTAATAAATGCTCTGGCTTGATTTTTTTTTGTAATTTAGAAAAGGGAAGGGAAATGTGTATGAGTGGAAAAGTAGTGCTGACAGGCTGCTGTTTCTAAGCTGGCGAAATAGGTTACTCAGTTTTAAAGGCTAGCCCATAAGGTCGAAATTGAGGCCAACGAATCGTGGACATACAGTGGCCCAACTTTATCGCTTGGATTGGATCTCATTAAAAGGCTAAGCGAGAAATTAAAGAAAGGAATTCGTTTACTTACGAACAATTTCCTAAACATGTGAAAATTAAGATGTCTGAAGGGGCTGGGTTTCCCATTACACATAGGCAAACGTAAGAAAAAGCTTTTCCCGATTAATTGCATGATTTAGGTTGTTGAATTTTATAGTGTATTTGTCAGCCAATATAATTTCAATATAATGTCAAATGATTGCCTTTTATAATGAATACAATGAAAAGTGGAGCCGTCTCGTGACCGAGAATAAGGTCGTCGATCCCCCCACGTGAAGGTCGACATTAAAATTTTTATAAGGTGTATTCCTTCCTTTGATTATCCTTCGCGATCCAGAAGGCAAAGATGATCTTCCCCATCCAAAG